AGTGAATCCCATCTCTTCTTATACAACATAGCAGTTCATACAGGTATTCTACCAAGCACTATATATGCAATATGTTTGCCATAAACCCATTTTCCAAAAACAATAGGAAGTATTTATTCATCACTGTTGTTGCACAAATCACAACAGTTTCTTCACAAATCAAAATGATTCATTTTCAAAACTCCTTTCGGTTGGATAAAATATAATTGCAAAAAACTTAAAATTCAAAAAATCATTGGCAAGAACAGAGCATGCTCAAGAAAACACTTACTTGTTTTCAGCTTTTGATTTCTCACTTTCTTCTCATGCTTTAATCAAAGACAATTTCTCCTCCGTAGAAACTCGAGCAAGCACAGCATCTGAGGACATATTAAAAGAAAGAAGTGAGTATTTTCCTGATACATTTACTTGTAACATGTTTACCGCTCTTAAAAAGCCAGGTTTTCTCCTACGACCCAAATAAGCTCATAAAAATGTACTTTTAAGTAGGTCAAACTTGCTATAAGATAAAGGAAAAAAAACAACTCATCGCAATCTTAATTATCTCTGTCAATAGAGCCCTCAGGCTGTTTCTCCTCAACAGGTTCTGGTTCTTTATACAGAAGGAAGAAGAAAAAGTCACAAACAATTGATAAAAAATTGCCAATAATTAACTTAATTTATCGTTGGTAGGTTGACTCTCTTCCCCACAGAAGCATTCTTTGCTTGAATCTGTTGAAGTCGTACTTCCTTGGCAAGCCTTTTCTAAACATCGGAAGTTAAAGAAAATGAGACATTGTGATATAATCTTATGTGGCCATCAATTTATGAACAGACCGCTTTTCTAAATATTAATTTTTCACATAATCATCATCGTGAAATCTAAAAAAGTTCACATATGGTCACCTACAAGTAGCAGGAATAACTTTAACATTTGTGTCGAAATAAGTACTTATCTAAATTAGACTTTTAAACCATTTCAGCTTACAAAGAGCTAATAATTTATAATATTGGAGCAAATTGATGACTTGCAGTTTCTTGTTTAGCTCCTTTGATACCAAGAATCTGATTAATGCTTGAACCACTTAGCCGGGCTTTATCTGATGTGTTTGCTCTTACTACACACATTACCCCAACACCTCCTCAAAACCCGAACCTCAAATTCAACCAATTTTCCCATTTCTCTACACAAATAAACTAATTCATCATTCAAATCAACCTTCAAAACCTAGCAAAAAAGTTTTTTTTTTAAAAAAAAACCATCAACCCTTCGTCTCTATCTGTTTCTGTAGATTTCATAACATGCAAAGCATTTACCTAGAGAGTTGACAACTTTAAAAGAAAATGGTAAGAAATGAGCATATTCTGAGCATTTTATGATATTAGCACTAACTAAACAAGAAGTTTGATGACAGGGCTTCAGGGAATAAAATCAGATTAACCACAAGGTCAACTTCTTCAGTCCCTGAAAATAAGAATAAGGGAAAACTATCGACATACAAACACTAATCGCACAATTCAATGCTCTAAATGATCTACGAAGCATAAAAACTCAATCAATAACTGTCTAGAAGATTCAGGAAAACAACATAACATAGTTACTATAAAGATAATTCTACCAAATCATAACCATATATACAAAATATAAATATCTATCTAAATTAATCTTTCAATTAAAAGATGAAATAGCAAACAGATGAAAATAAAAACTGATATTCTGAAGCGAATCGAATGGAAGTATAAGAGCGTGTCAGTAGAAATCGAGGATGGTAAAAGGCCCTATGCAATGTTAAAATAATTATTTCCTGTGCATTGTTTTACCTTCAGATTCAACAATGTATTGATTGAGAGCATCAAGAATATAATCAAAGGGGCTATAAGTAGTGTGGTAACCCCTTCAACCCATGATATCCATTTTGAACTTTCTTCACGTCCACCTAGGTACATTTTCATACAAAAATTAAATAAAATAATAAATACATAAATAAATAAATAAATAAATAATGTAGTCATAATCATAAATAATAATCACACAATAGATAACATAAATGGAAAAAATATCGTGGAGTTTGCTGTATGGTAGCTGGATCACTTCACCAACACTACATTACACAAGTTTAGTGACAATAAAAAAATTCTTGTATCAACATTAATCAAAGCGTCCGAATTTTCACCATAAATATTCTCTCCTAATTCTATTAAAACATGGCTCAATGTTTACTCCATAAGCCTATAGTCCAGTAATACCTTTTTTTCCGATGTATTTAACTGGACTTCTTCGATTAAAATGTAAATAATACAAACAACAAGAAAATAAAGCATATCTAAGAGCGAAACGTAGAGAAAGAAAAAGAGATGAGTTACCTGTGGATAGAGAAATTTGGGGGAGTTTAGCAGCAAGGAGAGAGAATGACTGACTTCGAATTTTATGGACATCTTTGTAAAAGAGATCATTTTTTTTCCCAATATCAACACAGCTCTACTGCATAATATTGAACCATGTAAAGAGAAGAAACATTAATAAAACCAAATCTAAAAAGCCGCAATGTTATATATTGCATTCATCAGCCGTAATGTTTTTCAACAAAAGCAAAAACCAAATCTAAAAAGCGTGCAACAAGAATCTATCCAATTTTCCCATCACAACATCCTCAAATACTATGCGACTTAACACGCCTAAATAAATATATAGGCAGGCTGGAATGCAAAACAGTCATGCCAAAAGAACTTACAGATCCTTCACTGAATAAATGTCCAAATAGACGATTTAGGATCAAGGCGTCAGCTATATCGGTCACCTAATAAGACAACAAAGCCAATTGTGGATTTTAATTGACCGAGAAAAAGGGAAGATGAGATGGAAAAAATAAAAGCCAAGAAGAAATTAATACAACACTGATACGATATCCAACAAGAAATAAATACAATACGGTTTATAGGGATAAATTGTCCAATTATCATTCATAAATCAATCCACAACTCAAAGAACGACCAACAGTCCAAAAGTTCAATGAAGAAAAAAAAGTGGTGAAGAAAAAGCATCTAATGCAAGTGCTGAACGCTTTTTTTACTGAGGATGAAATTATCTAGTAGCCTGAATGTAGGGGCCTGGTTGAGTATGATGCATGTTCAAAAACATCAATTCATCCTAATAAATCTATTGCAAATTAGTAATAAGAGGAAACAAAATAGCATTTGTACTTGCAAATGACTGTGGACATCCAGCATGAAGTCATGAAAGTGGATCCTCTTTTTCCTCCAGTCATGAAAGTGCTTCGGAACGTTCTTTTTGTAGCCACAAACAAAATAATCATTTTTTTTAACTTATCAGTTTTACCTTTGGTACTAACGTCGGCAACTATTATTGAGTTTTTGAAAAATGACACTTCAGTTTGGGAGTTACCTTTGTGTATGATGTTACATGATAAATATGTTTCAAGCATTGATACCCTGAACAAATAGAAATCAACAACCAAAAACCTATTACAAATTTACGGACAACTCATTATAAACAATCAACTAAAAAAACATAAACATCCAAAAGAAATAAATCTTCAACCTAAAAAATGGAAACACTTCAGGCAAAACAGATTTTAACAACAAAAGAAGTCAATTTGAAAAAAAAAAAAAAGGACGGCTTGTATCCAAAACCATCGACCACACACAACGAATTTGTTTCGAAAATCTTACTCAGCCATTGGCGTCGATTCCACCAACTTAAAATAAAATGGAACCCTATACACTGG